TCATTACTAAAAGAATGTGGATTGGTCTAGGTTAATTTATGCGAATCATTATTCTCATTCATTTATATTTTTATTTTAGTCGTATGAGAAATTGGCTAGGAAGAAAAATATTCAGCTGTATAAAAATATTTAGCAGCTGTATAAAAAGAGTGGCATGTCCGTTTGTACGTGGAAATATTCACCCATGTACCGTAGTCTGTGACCTCAGTCACTCATCCTCTGAATAAATATTTGCAACTAAATTATGGACTGCAAAGTGAGCTTTGTGGGCAAAAAAAGGCCATGCTGCTTTTGTCTAGTGCATACCGTTCATATTTTTCGTCTAATGCTGTTACTGTGCTGAAATCGCATTGCAGGATGAAACCGGCGTGTATAAGAATCTCTTGCAGGAGGTCTCACAAAGAGTGGGGGGATGCATGCCTTCTTATACAACTTTCAGATCTGGTCAAGGCCACCTTCCAGTTTTCACCTGTACGGTGGAATTGGTGGGCGTTCTGTTTACTGGTGATCCAGCTAAGAACAAGAAGCAAGCAGAGAAGAATGCGGCCATGGTGGCTTGGTTATCTCTCAAGTCATGTATATGATCATCCCTTTTATTTTGACATTAATTAATGTGCAATACATCCTTATACTCATATTAAGAAGTAGGATAGCTTCAGTATGTTGATCTTTGTTTCCCCTATAGATATGAATTTAAAAACCAGTGGAACGTATTTTTCAAGCATTGTAAGTCGGGAAAAGTAACAATGGAAATGGGCTTAAATGCTGAGAGAAGAAAGATAAGATGGAAGAAAGTTAACACAGGGACTTGCGGCTCAGCTTAGTCCTACTCGAGAATTAATTGATATGGACCACTGAGAGTACGTAGTTGAGTTGAGCTTGACGATCTTTTGTATCCTTTTCTTGTCTTATCCAGTGGCACAGCAGTCAGAGACTCCATGGGAGAAGACCCACAAGGATGAGCAGGAGCACGTGACAGTAGCCCGGGTCCTTCAAAAGTACCTGATAAAGGCCAGGCTGGCAAGATTGCCCTTCCCGATAAAATTCCCGACTGTAAGCCCGAGGCCATCGAGCAGCACACACCATTCCTCCTCCACAACCTCGAAAATACTTCCCTTAATCTGCCCCAAAATGGCCAACCGCAGCAGGTCTGCCTCCTCGCCAGCAACGAGCAAAAACGGCCCACCATTCCAAAAGAATGTGAACACAACCCAAGCCCAGCCTGTAATCACGACAATACCCACAAACGAGAGCTGCTTGTCGTCGGCTGATAACTTTAAGCTTCGGGCTGCACAAAAATTCCCTGCAGCAAGTGCACCACCGTACATTCCTGTCAGGCACAGTAACCCGCATGGCAGAGTTGCCCCGCTTGTGACTGTACGGAACATGGTTCCAGTTTTCTCGGCCCCACCACCAGTGATGAGGCCTCCGGCCATTGGGGTTGCGCCACCTGTCTCCATAAGACAGGCTGTCCCTGTATATGCTGCTCCAGTTTGCAAGAAGGAGCTACCCCATGATCCTCATGCACCGAGGCTGCTGACAGCTAAGGCGGAAGGACTTTCATTTGCTAGAGCTGCTCCAGGTACACTGTCCGGCACACCATTTTCCAAGCTTCCTTTATTTTGATGGAAAATTACAAAATACTACCCTTGGGGTGTGTATCAAGGGATTTGGTGAAACATTTTGAAATCCTTAGACAAATGCGACATGTTTGGCTAGAAGAAATTGGATCAGTAGATTGCAAAACCTTCACACACACACTACACACTGCACTTTTTATACTTGAAATCCGTATACAAATGCACGAGACATGTTTGGCTAGAAACAATTGGATCAATAGATTTCAAATCCCTCACTCGCACTGCACATTTCGTATTAACTCTATCTACATCCCACACTGCACACGTCCAATCCTTGTATTATATAATAGCAATTGATAAATTACTTCAAGACTTATATATTTCACATAACCTCAATTCAAACAGACCAATTTTATGTTTGATAAATTGCATGTGAAGGATTGGTTTCATAGCTAGTACAAAGCCTGATGTGTATTTTCGATTTTTGGAGATGATTAATTACTTCTAGTCAGGTTAAAAACTTCATATGTATTCTCTCATCCGTTTGGTTAGAGTTGAGGAGCTCCTCTGGTTTTTAAGTTATTGTCAGTTTTTGCAGTGCCAAATTCCGAAGTACCAGCAGGTCAAGTCAGGCTGCCTTCATCTGAAGCTATCACTGTTCCGGCCGAGCCAGCTGCTAAGGTTTGTGGTCCACCAGTCAGCTCGAGAGTAGCTGCTGACAAGACTAGGATTGCAGTGCAGGAAAAGCTGCAGGAATCCAAGGAGATTGAAGATTTGAAATATCTGAAGATATGAAGAGCTTTGTGAATGGCATGAAATTACAGTTGATCTTCTATCATCATGACCTATGTAGGTCGTGGCTTTATTTTCTGTTAGCTAAATTATGTTCCTTGTAGTGGATAAATTACTTCTCTTTGGAAAGTTCAAAAAATATTCTGCCGTACGTGTGCCTTTTGAATGACCCGAAGAAATCGAGCGGGTCGAAATTCTGCGCGGAGTATATATGGTATTGAGTGGTATGCTTATATGCTTTTTTTTTTCCAGATTATTATGAGACTATCCGATTGTAGGTTTGGGTTTCACCCGAAGAAATCGAGCGGGTCGAAATTCTGCGCGGAGTATATATGGTATTGAGTGGTATGCTTATATGCTTTTTTTTTTCCAGATTATTATGAGACTATCCGATTGTAGGTTTGGGTTTCTCTTTAAGGTTTCAAACTAACACGGGAAGAAGAGTATCACGTCTTATAAGTGTGTTTATTAGTGGCAACTGAGATTTGACTACAGAAAAATGCATCACATGAGATCATGGCTTGCTGCAGTGGCCATCGGTTGTGACTAGAGCTGCAAACAGAGTCGAGTCGAGTCGAGTCGAACATGGACATTGTCAAGCATGATTGACATTTTTCTAATTGCTCGAGCTTGATGAGCCGTGAAAATGACGCTCGAGCTCGACTCGTGAAACAAATGGAAATGCTCGAGATTGACTCGATGCTTGAGATTGGTTCGATGCTCGAGATCAACTCGAGTTCGGTTTGAATTTTAACAACTATAAAATATGCACCTATGATATTTTTGTGAATTACCTATATATAAAGAGTGTAAGTTTACACAAATTTCAAGCTGCTCGACCTTTGAAAATTTCGACTCGAGATTGACTCGATAACATACTTGAGCTGCTCGAGCTCGACTCTAAAACGGTCAAACTCGAGCTCGAGTCAAGCTTTGACTCGAGTGCAGCTCGTGAACTGCTTCTCGTTTGCAACTCAAGTTGTGACTTGTGAGGAAGTCAAGTGTTGGCCGAATTACGCTCAGTGCTTTGGGAAGGTGAGATTTCAAATTGTTTAAGTAATTTTGACCAACTTTAGTAATCTATATATTATCCATATTTCTATATCTATATAATAAGAATAACCACTTACTAAAAATAATAGCAAAAAAATCTTTGAGCATTAAATATATACTTTATTTCGAAATTTTTAAAATAAATGCATTAATTGCTTCATATACACAATTCCAAATCAGATCAAATCAGACATGTCAAAAAGATTTTTCGTTACTCTTTCTATATGCATTAATTGCTGGTATTTTTTTTTAACTTCACGATTGCTGGTATTACTCTTTCTTCATATTGACAAAGTGATACCTACCTCGTGGAGGCATCGCCTCATGGGATGGGAACGAATTTTATATCCAAATAAACTTTGACTTTTCAAAATCTATATTACATGTACTACTTCTGATGCGCGAAATTATTTTTTGAAATAATCACACATTATATGAAAATACGTACTCCAAAGTAATTGCACTTATGTTCAAGCACAATACATGAGTAGTTTATACAATAATAATAAAAAAAATACCAGCAATTTTAATGACAAGTTGCTTATTTTACAGAGATATTCATGAAGTATTAATAGAAATGCTTTATAAAAATCATACAATCACGAAACTTGACTATATTTTTGGTCAAAATATTTTTAACTATTTGAATAAAGTAGACGTTTTGCCAAATAAATTAAGAAAAATTTTACAATACTATTGTTATATTGGCTCCAACGGGTACTAATATTTTTTATGATAACGTAAAAATCAAAATGAACGAAACATCACTCTTGAATTATTATCATGAAAAAAAAACAATGCATCTATAATATACATTAGGTTCTTATGTATTTTTTTTTTTTTTTTT